CCATTAATCATAATTTTTTTCAATGCTGTTTCGTTCTTGTTTTCCTCTTAATCACCTTTAATTATCACCAATCTAAATGGTATTAAAACAAGTTTTTTGTAGCATTTGCATCATGAGCTCATCATTATTAATGGTATTATTATACTGTAACCAGAAAGAAGAACAGCAAGGACTCAGATTCAGATGAAGAGTCAGACCCAGCAAAGAAGAAGATGGAGTCCAGGCTGGAAGGAGCAATTGTGGCTGAGAAACCCAACATTCGCTGGGATGATGTGGCTGGCCTTGAGGGAGCCAAAGCTGCCCTCAAGGAGGCTGTCATCTTGCCCATTAAGTTCCCACACATGTTCACAGGAAAGAGACAAGCATGGAGGGGCATTTTGTTGTTTGGGGTAAGAGGAGTTGATGTCATTAGCATTAGTTAACAGTTGGGCACAAGCTCATTGATGTAAACTTTTAGTAACCTCTAAAAGATGGGAAACTACAGTGCTTCCAGTGCAATTTTGTTCTTTTTTCAATGAATTGTTGGGTCTCCTTGTGTATTCACACACATCTCAGAATGAGATCCATATTTGTCCTCTAAGAGCAGTGGCTACTGTATTTTTTATGACCTAATAATAATTTTTGTATTCTTTCTGTTGCAGCCTCCTGGTACTGGTAAGACCTTCTTGGCCAAAGCAGTTGCCACAGAAGCCAACAACTCTACATTCTTCAGTGTCTCATCAGCTGATCTCGTATCCAAGTGGATGGGCGAGTCAGAGCAGCATGTGAAAACTTTATTCTCAATGGCTCGTGAACAGAAGCCTTCCATTATCTTCATTGATGAAGTGGACTCACTGTGTTCCTCAAGATCAGAACAGGAATCTGAATCTGCTCGTAGAATTAAGACAGAGTTCCTTGTGCAGATGCAGGGTGGGTGCTGTTTGCTGAAGAAGTCTATGCCTTTGTATGTCTGATGGATAGATGTTCATTATTTTTTACTCTAAAAATTTATTCATATATATCTATAAATATTCATATATTCTCAGGTAAGAAACTGAAGGAGGTTTTTCATAGTAATGGTACATAAAAGTAACAGACATAATTAATTGGAAGGATAGATTATTTATTATACTACATATATCTTGTTATGTATTTAAAGAGATATGGCAAATTGATCCAATAAATGTAGCATTTTTTTGCAAACAAAAGAAATGAATAAAACACTCACAAACATTTGTTTCACAGGCGTTGGCAATCAGAATGATGGCGTGTTAGTCTTGGGTGCTACAAACATCCCATGGACACTTGACTCTGCCATCAGGAGAAGGTTTGAGAAGAGAATCTACATCCCGCTGCCAGAGAAACATGCTCGCAAGAACATGTTCATGCTCAACCTTGGAGATACACCTCATTGTCTCACAAACGAAGACTTTGACTATTTAGGTCAAGTCACAGATGGGTGAGTTCAAAATGCTATTGTATTTGTCATCAGGTACTTACTTACTTTTTGTGTTGAGTCTGTTTCTCTGCAACCCTATCCTTGTTTCCTTACTCTTCTCCTTTTTTCTTCTGTTTCTCGACTTCTCATTCATATTTTCAGCCTATTTCTCTGCATCATCTTCACCATAATCATTGTTATTATTGTCATCATCATCATCCACCTATGTCATCTGCTCTGCCTTTACCATCTTACTCTTTTCTTAATCTTTTTTCTTTGTTTTCCACTACCTTCCCATCCGTATCCTCCTACTATGCAAGACAAAAAATAAATAAGTAAATAAAGAAAATAAGAAGCAAAAAAAAAAAAAAAAAAAAAAAAAAAAAAGGAATAAATAAGAAATGTGAAACTAAATACTCTCTTTACCAATAGATTCTCAGGGGCAGATATCAGCATTGTTGTGCGTGATGCCTTGATGCAACCAGTGCGCAAAGTCCAGACAGCAACCCACTTCAAAAAGGTCGCAGGGCGGTCCCGTGACGACCCCAATGTTATTGTCCACGATTACCTAATGCCCTGTTCCCCGGGTGATCCACAAGCCTTTGAGATGACTTGGGAGCAGGTGCCCAGTGACAAGTTATATGAACCTGAAGTGACTATGGTAAGTTTTTTTCTTTCTTTCTTTCTTTTTTTTTTTTTTTTTTTTTAAGTAATGTAAATGGGAAGATTTAATCTGCAATATGTTTGGTCTTTTATGTAAAATGTAAAGTAAAATGCAATGACCTATTATATACTGTGATTTTATAGGTTGTAAAGGATTTATGTAAATGCTTTGACAGTTTTTCTTTTTTCTTATACTGTAGATCTCTGCCTTTTTGTTTATTGATTTTAAGATAAAAGGCCTATATTTTTCTAAAAATTATTGTCTATTTTTTCACTCTTAAAAGTGATGTTTATATTTGATATGATGTGTCCTTAGGTGTGTGAAATTAGAAAAACAAATCTTTTTATTTATTTATTTTATTTTTTTAATTATTTAACCCATTTGCCACGGATTTATGTTCTGTCCTCTGTAGTTTTTGGTGAATTTTGTTACATACAGATGGCTCCACATGTGTTCAGCCGGCAAGGAGTCTATCAATAGGCCCTAGTTACTGACCCTGATTTTCCCGTTTATTGAATTGGCGGGAAAATTAGTACTATTGCTATCGATACTGTTGTTATTGTTGCTGATGTCATGATTATTAAATTGTCATTAGAATATTTTAGACAGTGATGTGATACAAAAAACTCTTTCCTAAAGTGAAGGAAAAGGGTAAACAGGTGAAAATAGGTAGTTCTGATAAAGTGGCTATTTGGTGATTTAGAACTTGTGGAGCCATCTATGTGTAAATACAATAAATAAACGTGTATCAAAGTGGGCATGGCATCTATTCTTGCCACGTGTGGAGAATGGGTTGAATAGATTTTTGTAAAGTTTGATATTATACTACACTAAAATCAGAGAGATATATAGAGTTAGATATATTATACTTCTAATCTAGATTTGGTTCACATCACAATGTTCTATGTGGTTTTTGGTACTCAGTTTTACTTTGTATAAGGAAAGAGCACTTTTTTCTTGAAATCTCAGTGTTCATATTGATAGTTTGTAGAACTTGAAAAATACATAACTTTATATATTTTAGGTCCTATTCTACAGTATATAACAAAAGTTTCATTTTATACAAAATCCTAGTTCAGTGAGACAAAATTGGACTTGGAAAGCAAAGAAGCAGAAAAAAATTAAAGAGAGAAATTTTAAAAACTGCATTTGCATCTGATGTGGACATATCTAGATGCATATGTCAGAACTGAATTGAGTTTTCTTGTACTGGTACAACAAAACAATATGAGAACTATGAAAAAATGGAAAGAATTAATGGACTTTGTTTAGTGTAAAGGCGTATTTGAAAGAGTCACCAGAACTTTAGCATGCATTTCAGTTAGACAAACTTTCAAGAATAAAGTTAACACAAAAAATATAAATGGAAGCAGAAAAAACAATTTTTCATTTATTAGGACATGAAATGGAACAAAAATATTGAATATTTATATATCTTGACATTTGCGATGAGCATAATGTAATAATAGTACTCACAGTTATAATCACCTCTGTCTTTCTAATCCCACCAGGCTGATATGAAATGTGCCCTTAACGACTGCAAGCCCTCAGTAAACCAAGCTGACCTGGACAAGCTTCGCCAGTTTACAGAAGAGTTTGGACAAGAGGGTTAGGTGTTGTGTGTCTTGAGAAATATAATATCTTTTTTATCCAGTTCTGCATTTTGCATGAATATCGTCCATTATTACTGAAAGTCCAGGAGAAGGAAGGAAAAAAAAAACATAAACAAAAATTTAAAATGAACAAGAGACTCTCTGAAACAGAAGTATAGTTTACCTAGTACAAGTATGACATGATTAGTTGGTTATCCAGATAAAAATAAAGTGATTATTTAAAGATGAGAAATTGTTTTATATGATTATATTCACCTTTTCATTCACTATTACTTAGATAGCATTACAAAAGCCTTCTGAATTTAAATATTTGCTTTTTTAAAGTTATTTTGCATTATAAAACTGATATATTCACTCATGCTAGTATTTTAATGTTTTGTGTGTTTACATTAGTTTGTTTTATTATTCAAACTTTTTTTATCATTAATACTGGATAATCAACATGTTTATAGGGCATACATTGGCAACATACATCACATTTTATACTTTTTTCTTTCTTGCTTGCTTTCTTTCTTTCTCTCTTTCTTTTTTTATCTAAGGTTTCTTCCCGGTTTATTTTATTTCACTAGTTCATACTCGCATACTCACATAAAGAAAACACTACACAAATAGACCTTGTTTTTATTATTATTTTACAAAGTTCATTTACCTTTTTGGATGGAAAATTGAAGGTGTTAGATTAATTACAAACATAATCATCTCATAATTGCTTGTATATTTGTATGTATCTTAATAATTTAGTCTCATAACAGACATGCTCTTGTTGATTCAGTAATAAGTAAAAAAAAAAAGAAAAAAAGAAAAAAACATAAACAAAAATTTAAAATGAACAAGAGACTCTCTGAAACAGAAGTATAGTTTACCTAGTACAAGTATGACATGATTAGTTGGTTATCCAGATAAAAATAAAGTGATTATTTAAAGATGAGAAATTGTTTTATATGATTATATTCACCTTTTCATTCACTATTACTTAGATAGCATTACAAAAGCCTTCTGAATTTAAATATTTGCTTTTTTAAAGTTATTTTGCATTATAAAACTGATATATTCACTCATGCTAGTATTTTAATGTTTTGTGTGTTTACATTAGTTTGTTTTATTATTCAAACTTTTTTTATCATTAATACTGGATAATCAACATGTTTATAGGGCATACATTGGCAACATACATCACATTTTATACTTTTTTCTTTCTTTCTTGCTTTCTTTCTTTCTCTCTTTCTTTTTTTATCTAAGGTTTCTTCCCGGTTTATTTTATTTCACTAGTTCATACTAAAAAAAAGATTGTATCAGGGTTGTTTAATGATGGTCTTAGTTTAGTTCCCACTGATTATTATTATTTTTTCCCATTTTATGTAATTTTTATGTATCTTCCTGACTGATGAGGAGAAACAAGTGAAATTGTAGCGAGTGAAGAGTATGTGATATTTATCTTGATGGTTATGTAAAGATTTTTACTTTTCTGTGTGATTTCTTTGAGAAAGAAAAAGAAAAGAAATTAAATAAAGTCAATGAATAGAAGTGTTTACATGTTTTTTGTAGGTAACATTAGTTTTATTTTTATGTACGTCTCATCAGTAGGTAATTTTATATGCAAGACCATCATTATGTCATAAGTGATTATTTGTAGAAATGCAGAGCAAGTGGGTCACTAAAATTAGCGCTTTCAGTTCAATTCTTTACAGTTTCCATAATTACTTAACTTGTATATAGCAGTATTTCAGCTAGGCTCTATGTTTAGGTGACCCCACCAATATATTGTAGGTCTTATTTACCAGTGGTTAGGGTAGCTTGTGTGATGAACAAGAGATGCTTGTTATTTCATAACACAAAAATGTATATGAATAAGAGAATTTAAAGAAAAATGTTTATGTAACTATGGTTAAATAAAAATGACAAAGACTAGCTGGTTGTAATCATTGTTACAGTAAAACTTTTAGAACAAGAAAAAAAGAGAACTCTACATTATGACAAGGAATGACCAAACCATAACTTTTTAAAATGTTCTACCCATTGTAGTTCAGCTGAAGGAATTGTAGTTTTTAATTTCCAGATTTTCAGTTCTAGCTGAAATACTGCAAGTTTTGTAGTTGTTCTTAGACATCTAATGTTTAAAGAATTTGTATTTTGTTTTGAAGAACTAGTGACTGAATAAGTACATTCAGGATTGGTCAGTGTATGTGTGTATGTGTTTGTATGTTTCTGTCTACCTTTGTTTTTTTTCTTTTGTGCTTCACACCAAAACCCAGCCACAGTAAGCAGACACTTCCAGAGTTAGGACACTAAAGAGACACTTGATTTTTGTATGCTACAGTTTATGTTGTACCATGAAGCATGTATTGTCTTGTCTTTTAAGTATTCAGTGTCACCAAGAAGGGAGTACCTAGTGTGGTTTTCATTATAACAAAAACTAGAAGCTAGAAAATGAGAAAGAAAGAAGAACTGCAAGACCTTTTATGCTTGATGTCAAGAATACTCCTAATGATATTGAAAAGGTTACTGGATTGCCAAAAATAGCAGCACTGTCTGCTTGATTTTCTGTCTACAGCTACACTGACACGTATTCTAAGATACATGGACATAACAAAGGTAACCATGCATCTCAGCCTTGTAACTTGTAACTGGTGACACAGATGCTTGTTTAAATATGATATGGACATGCACACTTCCTGTATTTTAAAAGCTATTTTTAAAATTTGTTCTTAGATATCTAACGTACATAAATATACTATACATTATACTCTTTTATAAAAATGCATTATTATGTAATGCTCATGGTGTATTTATTCCTCCATGCATCAAAAATACAACCAAGATCAAGTATTTACTTAATGAATTAAGTAACAGTGCTGTAAGTATTCAGAGAATGTTATTTTAAGCCTCCATGACATTGCTCTGCATACCATCCTTAACAATTGGCCAAATAATTTGAAAGAATAACCTGCAGACAAAAATAATTTGAAACATACACAAAAAATATACATTCTGTCCTAATCATTTTATCTTTTATCTAAGTTTCAGATAGGAATGAAGTAATTTATTACTATTCTGTATCCCAGTCAATCTAGACTATAATAATGTATGTAAATACTAATATCTAAGCCAAGTGCTGCCAAATGAATGTCCAGTTACTTGCTCTATGATATAGAAAAAAAATTGTTACTCCATTGAAAAGCAGGTAATTCTTTACCCTAACAACCCTAACAAGGACTTTTTTTTCTTAATTCCCTTGGTAGACTCAATCAGTCCCAAATAAATCCTCATATAACCTTGTGTAAATAATTAGCAAATTAAAATTACTTTGTTAATCAACCCAAAATGCATACTGATTATAAATATATGCTTCACTGTCTAACTTGTGACAGTTATCATTATTGTAGGAATTGTGGACTTGTCTGCTGCCTGTGACTTTATTGTGTGTGCAGGTGTGCTTGCGTGTGTGTTTGCATATGCATTGTGCATCCATAAATGTATGTGCTTGTAAACACATAAAACAATCTGTGATGTAATGAGAACAAAAAAATTCTAGTAATGAAAAGAATTGAACCACAAAGCTGATAAAAGAAGTTTTCCTTCCGTTTCTTTAGAAGGTAAATCAAGACCATTGTGTGATACCATTTCTAACTCCTGAATTCTCAACTCCTATATTTACTTTGGACATTTCTCCATGTAGTTAATGAAGTGTGACACATGAAGACATGACAGTATGAATGACTTGCTAGTTAAATAGTTGTTGATATCAAGGATGCAAAATTTTTTTTTTTTTTTCTCAAGATCCTTATGATGATCTTTGTAGGTCATGAAATTATTTTGGAATTTAGTACTTATATCCTGTCTTTTTTCCAGTAGGAGCTGCTTATGATTGATTGATTTTTTTTTTTTTTTTCCTGTTGCATTAGAAAAGTGAAGATCACTTCTTTCTCTCCACTGAGACTCAATTTCAGTTGCACAGACTGGATACTTGCAAAAAATAAAGATTAAAGTGAGTACATGTTTATTGTTAAGTCAATACATGATGAAATGTAGCATGAAATTTCTCGTCATGAACTGATGTACTTCACCGTAAATAATTATTAGTATATTTCACCTGTAATACTATTTTTTCATAATGCCTGTTATATAAAGCCACTATGGAATTTTGTAATGAGTATTATATGTAGAGAATGTTGATTAATCAAAATTTTAAGTAGTTTTAGCATTTTCTAGTAGAAATGCAGTGCTGTTTAGTTGATAAGGATTCTTTCTATTTTTTATTGTAGTTTTCTGTTTTCCAATTTACTGTTTATTTTATATAGTGTATTATTTTTATTTGAGATGACATATGTATTATCTAGAGTGAGTTTTTTCTATTGTTTTCCGTAATCATAAATTTTGACACTGTAATAAAAGTATCAACATTAAAGCTGTTTTGTGCATTGTTCTTTTTGTGTTAATAAAAGAAATTGGAAACTGAGTTATAAGTCTCACTTTGCATTTTCCAGATTTTGAAATCAATATGTAAATTTATTGTATCACAGTATTACATTTTTTCTTTTCTTTAGTATTGACTTATAAAGAAAAATCCAGCTAAGATTAGAAAGCTGTTAACATTTTGAAGGAATTAAAAAATTGCTTTCATATTCAATAGATTATGCAATAAGTTAAAACTGGTCCTGTTTTTATTGTCTTGAAAATTCAGAGCACAGTTTGTTATATTTTGTAATAATATTTTTCATATGTATAGGAATGCCTTTAACATTATACATATTTGAGGATGCTATAGATGCATTACTACGAAGCTTATGTGAATTGAAGACTGTATAATCATACTTTAATGTAGCATACCGAGACCTTTGTCTACTTTCAGCTTTTGTAAAGTAATTAATATACAGGCCATTCCACTTCCAAGTTCTCCACTTAGCCAGTGTATAAACCCCATAGTTTCAACTCTTGCACCTGTGACATGGAGCCTCCTACTTGTATTGCCATGTGTTTTGAAAACAAAAGTCAAAACTAGCAATGGGGAAAGGTGAACTTGGAAACAGAGAGGATTAATTGCATAATCTGTTAAGGTTATAAAAGATAGTCCCTAATAAATAATGGCATATTTCATGCTAAGTAGGTTTAAATATGCACACTAATATATATCATTGCCTTTAGAGCATTAAGTATTGTAGTTGGACATTTATTAATTGATATTTAATGCCTTGTATTATGTGAACACAGAGATTCCAAATCTCATAATTGTGTTTATATAGTCTTAAGAAAGTGTTTTGTAGATTATAAATGGTAGGTGAAATACCATCTTGAAATTATACATTTTTTGTTCATGTTATGTCTTAAGACCAGCAGAATGCTGACATCCAAACTAAGAAATAAATTTGAGTGTGAATGAAAAATATTTACATTCACTTGATACTCATTTAGCATGCATGAATATATTCTTGAGTAATGCTTCTAGTTTTTTCATTTTTTTTTTACTATTTTCACTCTCTAGATTCCAGTCACTCACCATTTTGTTCTAGTTAAACAAATAGCTGATGCATAAAATATGAATTATACAGCTGCAGTGTAGAGGAGACATTTATACTGGTGTTACATTAATAGATATTTTGAAAATGAATGTAGTGAAGAATGCTGTTAGAGATACATTTGAGAATATTTTACAGTACATGTACTGTCTTTGTCGTATTGAAATTACGGGTAACTCAGACAAAGGAAGCCCATGTATATGTCAACTATACCTTTGTGCATAGGTAAATGGTTGAAGATTTGATAAAGATATATTATAAAAAATATTTGAGAATAAAAGAGTGTGAAAAGAAATATATTTCGTAAACCTTTAATGTTGATAGGTTTTTCCTCTAAAGCCTAGTTTTCATATAAATATATGTATGTGTGTGTGTGTGTGTGTGTGTGTGTGTGTGTGTGTGTGTGTGTGTGTGTGTGTGTGTGTGTGTGTGTGTGTGTGTGTGTGTTTAGTGTGTGTGTGTGTGTGTTTAGTGTGTGTGGTTGGTGTGCATGTGTGTGTGTGGGGGGGGGGGGGGGGGGGGGTCGGTATGTGGGTGTACTTTTGTCGGTACTTTCAGTTATACTTGCTCCATTATATTGTAAAACAGTAATTCTGCATAAAATCCATGCATTTATTGCTTTTTATATATATATATATATATATATATATATATATATATATATATATATATATATATGCCCTATAATTATATGAAGAACTTATCATAATAATAAGTGCACAGTGTCAGTACTTCGTCATCAGTTTCTATAAATGACCTATTTTCTTTATTGAAAGTCGTTTGATCTGTAGGAAGACACCTATGATATATTATTATAGATCCATAGGTCCTGAAAATATGTTTTAACATCACTGAGGTGCCATTGATTATGCAGATATATAGTTGCAAATATTTGTGTATGCATGTTTACCACAGTTCTGTGTAACACTGAATAAATTGTGTAAGATTTGGCATCTGCCATCTTCATCCTAATAATTATATGGAGCCTAGACAATCTACGTCTAAATTAATTTATTTATTAACTTTTCATCAAAGCTGTGAATTGCCCTCTAGAAATTGTGCCTTTTTGTTTAAATATTACTTACAATAGTACTATTACAATATATTCTATATATTAAATGTGTGACCATAGCATTACATTTTTTTAAATAGCAGTATGGTTCTACTATTATATAAGATAGAATAATTGAATCTTTTAGCAATTAACATGGGTAGGTTACCAGTTCTAACATGAAAGTATTTTTCCACCTGCCTATGATAGCACCAAATCAGCAAAATGGCACAAGGAGATAATCAGAATGCACTTGCCATTCCATCTGGGTTATTATCACAGTCACATGCATGAGATAGATTAAAGGAAGTTCTGGTTTTCACTTTCTGTTATACATGAAGTATCAAGAAACATAACGTGAAGACTTCATTTTCTTGTTCACTCCTTGTATACTTTATCATTAACATATTTTACATTTGCCAGAATATGGACACTATCAGAACTAGCTGTGTGTATCATCAGTGGAGTTCTAGATCCCTTAAATCTTTTTAATCCTCTTAAATGATCATGAAATCTTGAACATCTCAACCAAAAGGAAAATTCACATTTGTTTCTGCCACACATACAAACTGTCATCCTAACCTTGTGCTCTACTGTGCAAGCATGATACAGCTGTATGAGAGAAATTATCTTTATAATTATAGTAAAGCTTAATACTATCTTTACTTGAACTATTCAACACTGTGGTGCTCTTTAAATAGCCGTAAGTCCTGACATTTCCTAAGAAAATGATTTACTTAGTTTCTAAGCAGAAACAGAACAAGTAAAACTGGATAAAATTTTGAGGTGAAGGAAGGACATGGACATCCCTGTTAAATTATAAAACTTCCTGTGTGCCTATAATAAATGAACCAAGATCTGAAATGTTGAAATTGGAGTTACATGTCAGTGATGTTTTTTCATGGCATTCTATAACGAATACATTGGGTTGAAGAGGTAATGTTGGTCACTGTCTTAATCATAAAGCAAAGTAAAGCATACATAAAAGTACCATTGGAAGAACCAAAGCTCATATTTACACACCTGGCAACCTGATATGGGTCACCATTGTAGGTTTTAGGCTCAGGTTAAGTTAGAATTTACATCTGAGTCATGTGGACAAAAAAAATGTAAATTAATAGCCTTTGAGAAGAACAGCTTCTTTGAATTCAAGAGGAAAATGTTCTGCTTAAGTGAATTTATTATATCTATTTACTTATTAGATGGGCAATAACAAGAGTACACATTGTATGTGATGCACCTGTATTTTGGCTAAAGCATACAAAGAAAAATGACATAGCTGAAAAAATAGACAGGCTTCTTACAAGTGATTCACTCAGAAAGAACTTGTGGGACAAGCTGTTTAGATTTCATTTTATTAAGTAATGGCATTAAATTCTTTGTCTTGGGATTTTTTTCCCCTTTCCATTTTCCCCTTTTTCTGGTGTATATTCTGAAAATCTAGAAATGTGTGTAAAAACACAACTTAAGTATAGTAACACATAAATATCAAATATTGTCCACTTATGTTTCAAAATGGGTTATTGATCACATCATTTCTATAATCAGTCTTCCATTAAAAATGCTGACCAGAAAACAGATATATACATTCAAAAAGAACATTATTTTGCACTGGCTAACTTACACACCTTTGTTGGGCAAGTTGCTTGATTACCTTAACTGGGAAAATGTAGTATTTTCTGAAATATCTCTACATATAGATGGCTCCACAACTACTCAGCCACCAAGGAAGCAATTAGTAGAGCTCATAACTTCACCTGATTTCTCCTTTTCTTATATTTTTTTTTCTAATGGTATCAATATCAATGCTGTTATTATTATTACAGACATTATAATTATAATGTTATTAACAATACTAATAGCAATATAAGATAAAGGAAATGTCTCCATATACCATGGAAACGGGTAAACAGGTGAGATAAGTAGTACTAGTAATTGACACATTGGTAACTAAGAATGTGAGGAGCCACCTGTAAAGACAATATTCTAAATTCATAGTGGGCATGGTATGTTCCATCATGCCTCAGGTTAAACAAACTGCTAAACCACAGTGATGACAGATGACATACTATTCAAGAAAGTTTTTAAAAACAAAATAAATTTTGGACTTCAAGATAAAAATAATGCCTTTCTCTCCTCGTCATTTTTTTATTTGTTTAGTCACAGTTTTACTAACACATTCTTGTTTGTCATTAATACCAAGTAATTTAAATTAATATTTGATTTCACAGTGAAAATTATATTTAAAAATGTGCATATCAATCAATACAATATTCTTTCAATTTGAATACTAATAAATGAATGAATACTTGAAGTGGACAGATATCCTAACACTGAAAGGAAAATACAAGTGCATTGACCAAGTAAAATATTTATATCTTTGCATATATTTACTTTCAGCTTTAATGCTGACTCAACCATACTTACACTTCCAAGTGCTTTCTATTGCAAAAGACTAGGAACCATTTTGTGAGGGTAAAAATGAAACTAAGTAGCTATGGGAGGCTAGTACTTCTGGATACAGACAATGTAAACTTCTCATACACACTGTATTACATAAGTAAAAGGCTGAAACAAAGTAACCTTCCATCGAAAAATAAACCAAGTTGCGTACAAGCCCTTTCATAAGCCATCACAGAGGGCTTTTGAACTACATGAAACAGAGAACTGCATCATTTTTTCTTTTACTTCTTTATAAATAGAAGGGAAAGTTTATAGGCTGCCACCTAGCCTGTTTGGTTAGTTAGTTAAACCTAACTCTTTTAACAGCAATTGAGAGAGGGTTAATAGTCAACTTTTTCTTAATTCAAGCAAACTGGCAGTATGTGTCCATTAATATGTTCTGCTTGATAACATTATATAAGTCAACTTAGAATTTATAGCATTATGAATATTGAATCTAAACTATAAAATTTCAGCACAGATCCCAATCTAAACTCATTAACTGAACTGTAAAGCTTATCATCCACTGCGGGTAACAGATGGAAGTTTTGGCTTAGGCCTAGCCACAAAATGGAGATTCAATGTGGCTTAATCATAGTACAAATTTCAATCTCACATTTTCATCAGGTATAAATGAGTTTTCCTTTATGTAAAACCCTGTAGTAATACTGTCTTACACCACACGTCTGTGCTGCAGTAACACAAAAACCTGATATATGTTTTATGTAAGTTGTGACTTAAGATATCACTGACAAGTCAGCATGTTCTAACATCCTAACACATTTCTAGATAGCTATACTGTGGGCACCTATCAGACAGACTAAATTCATATTTATTCGATGACAATAGATTCTGTAATCAGAAAAACTATGAACTACAAGTAAAAAATAAAAAGCTCAAGAGAAACAACCCTAATTTAAATAATAGTTATTGAGTTTCCAAATACTTTTTTTGGTGTATGTGATGACCAAATGCATGAATATACTATATATATTTTCAAGTATTACAATTTCCTTCACCCATTCTGTTTGCACTTTCTATGAAGATCAATTTTTTTCCAAACAAACTATTTTTTGCACAAGCATATAATTCAGCTAGAAATTAAGAATCAGCAGTTGCAGTGTTACCCATTAGCCAAATATGTTTTCATGTAATTTTCTTCCTAAATTATCTTTTCTGTTACTTGTAATTTCTCTCTGGTACACTTCATGTCAATTTAGTTAACACTGTTAGTAGCTGAATAAGATATTTAATATGATGAAACATACTAAATTATTAAACCATAAAAAGCAATTTTTCAGACATAAAGGCAACATAAATGTTAAGATAATAAGTCATATGCAAAACTGATTAACGAAAAGCAGTAGATATCAAACATAACTATTCAGAATTTAACAAAAAATCTTTGCTCCATTAATGTAGTGCCAAGCATAAAGTAGCATCTTTTTTTTTCTTTTTTTCTTTTTTTAAAGTGAAAATGCAAAGTAATAGTACAGAATCAGCATAGTAGTAGTAATATTCACAGTAACAGAACACACAACAGTAGCAAAAATGATTAAAATATAATAATAGTAATAATAATAAAAATAATAACAATTAATAAAAACAGTAAAGTAATAAGAGAAAAACTAATAAAAAATAAAGCTATCACTAATGCCTTAACCCAAAAGGATGAAGCAAAGTCTAAAGAGAAAGTGGAATTATTTATTCGTTATCATTATCACCATCCTTATCACTTATCATTACTGTTAATATTACTTCTACTCCAATACTTCAGCAAGCATAATCAACTGTTGAGATAATTTTGTATTCAGACTAGCAAAATATCCAATATCCTCTACTCCTCCAATAAATGGATAACCTCACAGCAAATCCATTTTCGGCACTGTAGGCTCGACAAAACCATAGGCTCTGAGCAACTCCTTCCAAGTGCCATCATAAAGTTATGTTTCAGTCCTCAAGGAGAAGCAAATGCTATTCATAACACAAAAGGCCACAGCTTTCTTCCCTGTGCTTAGCTAACTGTTTACTGTTGTGTGGGCTGGGTGCTCTTTCCTTGTTTCTCTAAAACACCTTAGCACACATCTACCTGCATTTTATTTTTTTATTTTACCTCTTTTACACAATTACACAAAAAATTATGAATGCTATGGAAATTATCCACTGAATCCCCTAGGTAAACAACATAAAATTTGCCGTCTGAAAGTGTATGCTTTTGACACAGGTTTTTTTTTTCGCTTTCAGGTCCTAGAGCAATATCACAACTACATGGGCACTAAAACAAAAACAAAAACAAACAA